TAGAACAATATAGCAAGAAAACTATGGATATGCAGTGTGCAAAGTGACATATAGGTACATGTGTACCAGTCAAATCGTAAGTCAGAAAATAACAATAATGGGACTACCTGCTGACTGCGAGCAGTATGTACACCAATGTAATGTTGTGATCAATCTGATCAAATCTTGAAAGTCAGAGCACTATTCGTCTATTATAAAAAAAACTCTGGTAAACAAAAAGTTCTGTTCAAAACTGTTCAAAAACTACATCAAAAGCCAACTGTTAACTACTATCCACCCTCCAAAAATGACCGTATGCTAGGTGATGAATTTGCTACCTCTTTTACTGCTAAGATTGATACACTACATAATGATCTCCTTGTTAAAAAGAAGGCTCTTAATGATTCGGCCAAATGTGTTACTGATGAGGTACTCACTATGTCTTCAACTAAATTTTCAACTTTTACTGAAATGAAACTTGATGACATCAGGGAACTAGCTGCAACAGTGTTCTCGAAGTCCTGTGTCTTGGATCCATTACCATCTTCCATCATCAAACAATGTACAGACGTATTGCTGCCTACTATTACTAACATCGTCAACCTCTCTCTCCGTGAAGGCTGAATGCCTACATGTTTGAAATCTGCAGTATTGTCACCTCTGCTCAAGAAACCTGATACGGACTTTTTACAATTCAAGAACTTTAGACCTATCTTGAAGTTGAAAGCGCTATCGAAGATTATTGAGAAGAGTGTTGCTCTTCAGTTAAACAACAATTTTACTATCTGCTGAACAATAACCTACATGAGAACTTTCAGTCAGCCTATAAAGTACATCATTCCACTGAAACTGTCATGGTGAAGGTACAAGATGATATTCTGCACGCAATTGACGGCAATAAAGCCGTTGTACTACTTATGTTAGATTTATCTGCTGCATTTGATACTGTGTTTCATGAAAAACTACTGGATAGGCTGTCTCAACGCAAATGGTATTAAAGGGTCTGTACAAGAATGGTTCACATCTTACCTGACATCTTGTACACAATACGTTCAAATTGAATGTTCAAGATCTTCTTTACATGAACTTAACTGCAGTGTACCGCAGGGGTTTGTCTTTTGGCCTCTGTTATATGTTGAGTACACTTCACCAGTGTCTGATATTATCATAAAGAGACACAATCTTACGTACCATATCTATGCTGAGGACACTCAGCTCTCTGTGTCATTTAAATTAGGAAGTGATGATCTTCTCTCCCCTGCTAAATCTAGCATTGAAATAATTATGTGTAAAGGAAATCAACAATTGGATAATTCTTAATGGTCTTCATCTAAATGAGGAAAAAACTGAGCTGCTCCCACTCAGTTCACGTTATCAGCCCAGTCCTTCACTGGAATTTGCTCGTGTTGGGGGTGAAACTATTCAACCGTCCTCTTCTGTTCGTAATCTTGGAGTGATACGCGATCCCAGTGCTGATATGGAAGACCACATTAAAAAGATTTGCAGGACATGTCATTTCCATTTAACTAATAATTATTAGTAAGATAAGAACATATTTGGATCGTGAATCTACTGAAGCAATTATTCATGCTTTTGTGAAGTCCTACCCACTTGGATTACTGTAATGCAAATCTATATGGACTACCTAAAGTTCTCTTGAACTGCCTACAGCTAGTTCAGAATAGAGCAGCACATATCGTAACATTCACCAAGAAATATGAACACATTACACTCAGCTTAATAGACTTAGATTGGTTGCCTGTTGAATACCGTATTATTTATAAAATCTTATTTTTAGTATATAAGGCTATCAATGGACTTTCACCATTATATCCAATTTGCTCAGTTTTTGTGGCAGCTCCTACTCTTTGCGTTCTTGCTCGAATAAGTGACTTCAAGTCCCGAGGTCTAAGCTAAAGTCTTATGGTGATCAAGGATTTTCAATTGCAGGACCTAAATAATTATTGATCAGCATACCCATATCTTTAAGGAATACCAATTCCTTGAATTCTTTCAAAAAACACTTGAAGACATATTTATTTCATCAAGCTTTTTCTTAATTATTTACATATATATCTCGGTGAGCATTCGGAAGTCAGCCAAGCGTGGTCATTGCACGCGTGCTGAACAAGAATGCTGTATAATGACAGACTAAAAACAATAGACAACTCCCAAAGCACAAACTCAGCCAAAACGCTAAAAATCTTCGATGTTTACTCAAGTTTAGGCTTATAGAAGATTTGTCACAGTTTTTCAATGACCATGAAATTCAGAGTCCGGATAGTTAGTTAATCAATTGTGGCCCTGAAAAAAATTTGAAGGAAAAAAAACTACAAATTTTTAAGAAAATGCTTTTTTTGTGAGAAGGACTCTTAAATGCTGACAAACGTCAACAAAAATTAATAGCGAAAACTATAATTTCTATATGTTTGCTTTGCTCAAGATCGCGCGCATTTACAAGACCCTAAAGCGTTTTGCTGACTTGCAAGGACCCATGCGTTATAACAATGGCCAAAATAAAGGGATGAATCTCATAGTTTATTAGATATAATCGTGTAAAGTTTGCTTATCATTTTTGCATAAATTAATTATGACCTAAATTTGGAAACCGCTGAATTTCTTGAATTGGGTCTTTGCGATTTTGGTGAAACTCTGTTCAGCGCAAGACACTAATGCGCACTATGTGTAGCCGAGAGATTTTCACAAAAAAATGCCGGCAACAGCAGATTTTCGACTCAGACCCCAAAGGGGCGTGGCATTATAACCACGTGACATTTACTCCGATCGCCAAAAATTTTATGTTATATTGTAGATTGATCTATGTGTTATCCATTCTATGTGTTAGACTTACGATAAAAGTAAAGGTGGGGATACCAGAGAGCTTCAAAGCAGGATGGTACCCCCCCAAAAAGCTGGGTTGAGTCACCTTAAATCAGTAATAAATCCATCCCCTTGTTTTATTTGTGCATCTGCTCATTTTATTGTGTTTGTTTATTGTAGCAGAATGTGGGACAGGTCAGCCTATAATTAATGTAATCTCACTTACATCAGCAGGTGTCTCCATCTTTCAATGCATGTAACCTGAAAGGAGAGTAAAACTGGCTTATTTCAGTCTTTCTTTTTTCAAGAGCTAGGCAGAATGTCTGTTTCTGAACCATTCAATCTTACCTCCCAGCCTGTATCCAGTATCTTCTGTCCATAAAAATCATAAATACTTCTTGTTTCAGGATTACTCAGGACTAAAGACTGAAAAAGAAAGAGTTAAAATCAGATACAGCTTTATGTGTACATAGATGTTCTATTTCTAGTCTTGTCAGACAGTCATTACAGCGCTCCAAGCTGTGACCATTTGGGTAACCATGTAGGGTTAAAAAATTTGGCAATTTGCGACCTGTGCTTGGCAGTCATGTGCCAAGATTTTCTAAGTTCTTTTATCAGCTAATACAAAAGGTGGTTCTAAAGTTAAATTGTTTTCTTTTCAATAAATGCAGAAAACCAGAATGTAATCTGAGACACACTTGAGTTTTAGGAGATAAAACACATGAAAGTGAGGTACCGGCCAGCAATCAATGTGGTCAATGGTAAAACCTTTCATGTGATATTACGTCAAGCATGTTTTTATTATTTTTCTTATTATTAATTTTTTTAATGGCAACCAATATTTATCTCTGGCAACCATTTTATAATAATTACAATGTGTTTTAGGTCGCCAAAAGGTGACTGAAAAAAATTGTGCTTGGAGCATTGCGTTGCCATATAAGATATTTACTCAAATAATAATATTATTATTGCCATGGTGCTAATAGTGCTGCAGTCAGATTCTAAAAATAGTTTACATCAGATGAGAGCCCCACATGACTAAGACAGTCTTTGCTTCTCACTCAAAGGCTTTGTATGCGTGTTTACTGAGTGTTGAGTCAAAACAATGCTTTTCATTTATTTTTATCAGGAAATGGTAAACAGCAAGCTTTGCAGCTGGGAAGAATGTAAGAGGGACTCAAGGATCCCTGAAAAAGTGGTCTGAGTCACTAAAATAAAATAATGCAAGAGATCTGGAAAGAAGGCAAAGTAAGCTGTGCTTTATGAAGTGACCAGGCACCTGGGAAATGTTTAAAAATGTTTGAAACACAGGGCAGTCTGAAATTTAATCCATTTTCAAAAATTATACAGTTTAGTTCTTCTAAAAACATAAACTGTTTCTTTATAAATCTCAAGCAATTTCAAACATTGCCTAGTGGGTTTGAAGTAGACTCATGGAATCGTTGACCTTGGGCATATAGAGAAATCTTAATGTTGTCAACACTTCACTGGCATGATGCACTGAGTCAGTTATCAAAGGATATCCTTAAAACTTATCATCAAAACCTGTCTGGAGCATTTGTAATTCTAAAAAAGGTTTGGTCTTGTAGTGGACAAATACTTCACGCTCCAGCATATTTGAATCTAAAATCGCCGGGCCCAGCAGTCTGAAATATTACTAGGTCTCTCTATTTTTCACAAAAATCTGAACTTATCTCGTATGACTAGGACTCTTTCTACTTTGGCACAGCAATCGAAATTTCTAAACAAAAAATATCAAATTTTCCTTAAATTGGCTCGGCTGATACTGGGAGGGAAATATACCTCTCAAAATCCATTGGGCTACCTATATTGTTGGAAGGAAATTTATGTAAGTAATTTGCAGCAAGTTTTTACTGAAACTCGCCTTGAGGACGCAGATCTTTCTAAACCTCAGCCATGGAAGTACTTTGTCTATATGGACCAAGGAAATCCAAGCCAAGACTAAAGAGTGAACTACACAGACAGCAATATACTGTGACACTTTTTTGCTCCAATAATTTGGCACACATAATAGCTCTTTGGCAAATGCAAAAATTTATGTGTTACTGTACAGTTTTCGCTTTGTTTTATTTTGAATTTGAGAGCAATTTCCAAGTATTAGGAAGGGCGAGTTTGGGGGGCTTACATTTCGAGGGGCTTAGTTTTGGAATTTTACATTATTTACTAGCTGCAATAGGGTATTAAGACACAGTGCTTAAAAGTCCTCTCATTATCCACTCTGCCTTAATCCTTTGTAGGTCTTTGAACTTAAACCATGTTTTGATTTGTTCTACATTATATCCTCCAGGATCTTGCTCAAATTTTGAAACTGGAACACTCCTAAAAACGTCAAAAGGGCCAGCAAAACTTATAGCAAACTGTTTTTTTTTTTCATACAGCACTCTTGCAAACTCTTGCAGAAATGGCCCATGTTTGTCTGAGCCTCGGTAGGGGTCATGTTTAGGTGACATCATCAGTCTGTGCACAGCCCTTTTTTAAATTTTTTACTCCTTAAATGTGGTGTTTATTCAAAGTGGTCCTTATTTGAGGGGGGCATTTATTTATAGGTTCGAAAGAATTGTTTCTTTTAAGTTACCAGTATAACTAACAGAAACATTTGATTGCATTGGCCCAGTGCTTATACGATGGGCGGGGTAAATAAAAACAAGAAACTGTAGTGCATGAATACCATACCTTCATAAGCCTTTTGAATTTTACTGAATAACTCAACAGGAATCTGTGAAAACAAGTGCAAACAAACTGTTGTTTATACTATCACTTTTATGAAAAGGCAGTAATCATTAGGCACTATGAGGATAAGGAGGGGTACTGGCATGATTTTTACATGTAAACTTAATCTCACTGCCAAATTACAAAGTCTACAGTGAAACAATCCTTTATGCGACCACCCAGAAGCCATGGAACTCCGGTGGTATTTAATCCATTCGCCGCTGAGCAGCGATCCTAAAAGCTTTCCCAAACACAGCAACTACCACCACTAGCTTCAAAACACGTTTCTCGCCAAAATTCCCAGGAGATGGTCATATTAACAAGGTTTTCAGAAAACGGCTGCCTGTTTTTTAAAGTTTGGGTCAAAGAACCTTGTTTTATTTCATGGTGAAGGATAGCTGTTAAGGAACAGAGGAGTTTGACGCTTAACAAAAAATTGTAGGCCCCCAACCTTTCTCGACGGCATCCATATCTTTGAACTTTGGTGACAGTTGAGAAAATTTTGGCGGGTGAAAAAAGTCGTTCGCACTAGAAATGGCTCCCTGTTAAAATTTTTTTCGCAAAACAAATAAAATTTTGCTTTGTGCCAACAGGGCCTAAGTTTTTTTTTAACCTTACTTTCATTTTCGCGGGATCTTGATATGATATAACATGCACACGCGTCTGTACTCTGTAAGCAGCTTTAAGCTCATTTTGATTTACCTGAAATGCAACAAAATACACTTTACATGATTGATGAAGTATTTCTCTATTTGTTTCTATCTGAAAGACTATTTTTACCTCATTTCTGACGTTCAAAACGGCGTAATAATCAACTTCGGCCTCTTCTGGCTCCGCCATTTTTAAATTTTACCGCTGGAAATCGGCGGCTCATGATTATGAAGTACCTACCATTTTGAAGACATCCTGCTGACTGATAGGACTGCGGGCATTGTCGAATGCCTTGATTGGTGGTTCAAATCATATTCAAATTAAGATTTGACTATATTTCGAAGAACAGCATCGCCTGTCAAAAAAGATACAACAGTAATGGTATTGCAGCCCTAATGGATGTTAAAGTCCGAGGAGTAAATTTCACCACCATGTCTCGTTTTCAAAATATAAAGTTGCGAAGTGTTAATTACATAAATGAATTCCCAAGGCACGAGGAATAGCCACTCACAAATAGTGCAGATGGGAAGAATTTTGCGTTCAACTGAGGCTGGGTGGACTTAATGGTGAAATTTGCTCGTCTGACGTAATCACGCGTCTGACGTAATGCCGCAAATTATGGGAGTGCATTCGATAGGGAGGGGGGGGGAGGTTGGTAGTGAGTGGTAGTGGTAAGAGGGTTCAAAATCTGATGGGCTTGTAAGATTGAGAAATCAAAATCAAACACTTTTATCAATATGAATATCAGCAGCTGTCTTTATCAGTGTTATTGTTTATCCCCCCCTTAACCCCTTAACAATTCGTGACTATTTCATTTTTCCTCAAAAATGCATGAACGTACTGTACTTATCCGGGGCGGATCTAGTGGGGGAGGGAGGGGGGGGGTTCGGAGGGTTCGATGGAACCTCCTAAGTTAAAACAGCTAACGTCAAAAATTTGTA